ATTTAAAAAGGTTTTTTTAGTTAATTTTCAAACCTTTTGCTATGATCTCCAAGGTCCCAGACAATTTGGTTCCTGCGGGAGTTTAAGTTCTTCCCACAGCCTTTTTATATTCATGCATCATTGTTAATGAAGTATTCTCTATTCTAGGAGTACTAGTGTGTTCCTTATACCTATAAAACCCTCTTTTCTTTTTTCCATCAATTAAATCCCACTTTTACATTGGGGTCCATTTCAAATGTAACTCTCTAATTTGTTCCTGATATGCTTTGTCAGAAATTATTAAGCAGTCATTCCTGTACCTTCACCTGGTTATTTGTTTCTTTTTAATGGCATCTTATGTTTCATATTACTTTTTTTCATTAGATTGTAACAAGACCTTTAGGACCATGTATTATATTAATAACACATATATATGGTATCTTACATTTGGTGAGTTGGGTTTGATTCATTAAATGTGTTCTCAATGAATGTTGTATGTGGTCGTCAAAATTGGGGCAGTAGTTTTTTGTTTTTTATCTTGTTACTTTTTGGAACCTTAACTATAGAAAATTAATAATGTCTCAGATTTGCCTTATTATGTAGTTATTTGTAGAGTTTGGAGTTTGACCTGGATGGAGCATAGACACATCCCTTTATCTTCTCACTTTGTGATAAATATTGTAAATGTGGTTGATCTAAAAAAAAGGACATTGATAGTGTATATTGTAGAGGTGGCTAATAGTCTACTAGCTCTCTCCTCTCTTTTTTCACAGCTGAATGTAGAGGATTTTTAAGGTTATAGGAGAAGGTGGGGCTGCAGGATAGAAGAAGACTGGGTCTGTGAATCACCACATGGCACGACCACTATGATCGGGAACACTGGATTGTGAGAAGGATAAAAAATAAAATTCTGTTGTATTAAACTACTCAGATTTAGGGGTGTTACAGCAGCTAATATTGCCCTTACTATCACAACATAGAGTATTTTTTTGATGGCCACTACTATGGAAACAATACATAGATAAATACATCTTGAAGAAAGCATGCATGGTTTTGTTGAAATTGATACCAGATCACAGGAAAAATCACTTATGCAAGTGACGGTTTCTGGTATGAAAAAGAGAATTGTATTAGTCTGTTTCTATTGCTTATAACAAAATACCTGAAATAGGGTGATTTATAAAAAGATGAAATTTACTGCTTACAGTTTTGGAGGCTGGGACATCCAAAGTCCAGGGAACACATTTGGTGAAAGCTTTGGGGGTAGCAACAGTGACCTAGGGATCTCACATAGCAGAAAATGGAGGAGCAGAGAGAGGGAGAGACTTTTATTTTTTTTTAAGTTATCATCTGATTGCTTCTGTTGCTACAAGTTAATAATAATTTTAGTGATTAATTTTTCCAAATTTAATTTTGTAGAATGACATTTTATCATTTTTTGATTAGTTTTCCAATTTGGAGTACTTCTTACATTAGATCTCATCTCATATACTTTGTTGAACTTGGGGGCTAAAAATGTATCTTGGCTCATTATTGGAGAAAGGAGAATTCAGTGTTTTTGACTCCGAAGGCTTCGTTTTAGCAAACTTCCCATGGTTTCCTCCAGTAACTACTTCAATACTTCTGAGCACATGAATTCTACAGCTGTTATCTTTATTGATTATCTATCTCAGAACCATAATCATAATCCAGTTATCTTTCCTTGTAGCATCAGAGGCTCCTTGAAATGCTAGATACAGAGAAGGAACTATTTAAAGAAAAAATAAAGGAAGTTTTGGATCAGCAGTCTCAAGAACAGAAGGTAATACTATAAGTGTGCTCGGAGTGTGTAAAGAATGTTTCCTGTTACCTTAAATAATACGTTTAGTATCTTCCCAACTGTCCTATCATTTACAGGAAATATTGCAAAAATGTTTGGAGGAAGAAAGGCAAAGAAATAAAGAGGCGTTGGTATCTGCTGCAAAGGTATTTTCATATGTAATAATGGGTTAGTGGAATTTAAAAATTGAATTCATTAACGGTATTGTCAATCTACTTTGGTATAATGTTTCATTCCAGAAAAATTAGAAAGTGTTTTTCTTTCTTATTATTCCTCTTAAACTTAGGATATGACTATTCACATTCTCGTTAAATTCACATTACGTAAGATTATGATGCCATTGAAATGCTTTACAATATAGATTATTAATTATTTGTTAAAAAGAACATATATGTTAGGACACTAATATCCACCTGATATTTGATAGGTATCATCATATGGTGTGTGTGTGGATCATATGGTGTGTGTGTGTGTGTTTGTGTGTGTATACCAAGGTAAGTGATTTCTAAAGCCAAGTTTAAACATCATATGGTGTGTGTGTGTGTGTGTGTGTGTGTGTGTGTTTGTGTGTGTATACCAAGGTAAGTGATTTCTAAAGCCAAGTTTAAAATAACTCATTTAAATAGTATATTCATTGATATAAAACAAATACACTTATAGCACTCCCTTTTGAGTTGGAGATTTAAAATTAAATTTAGAAAATAAATATTGAACATCTCACTGTGCCAGGGATGTGATTTTGCCATTTTCTTAAAGAATTTACAAAGAAATTTTAAAAATGTTCCTTAGGGGCCGACCCCTGGCTCACTCGGGAGAGTGCGGTACAGATAACACCAAGGCCACAGGTTTGGATCCTATATAGGGATGGCCAGTTCGCTCACTGGCTGAGCGTGGTGCTGACAACACAAGCCCAAGGGTTGAGATCCCCTTACCGGTCATCTTTTAAAAAATAAAATAAATAAAAAATGTTGCTTACATACCAATAAGGCAAAGAGGAATATATTAAATTATTATTATGTGTGTGGAGATAAGGTATTCACATCACAGAATTTTTAAACAATAATTACATTTGTAATTAGCCTTAAAGGAAGGTTAGCATTCTGAATTGAGTTTGAACTTCATTCCATAGGTAAGGGAGACATGGTGAAATGTTCTAGCATAGGTGTGAAATAAATGGTATTGACATAAATTTGGGGGAAATTAAAGACAGCAAAATATAGAGGCAGGAAAACTATTAATATAGAGTGCATCAGCAGTCTTGTTAAGAGATGGAGAGTGGTAGAAATAGGCTAATAGTAGTAGCTTGGAAAGGAAAGAAATAGACAAATTCTAGAAATAGGAGATGGAATCAATATATATGTTTGGTGTGGATGATATAAAAGAAGGTCAAATTGTGAACTCATAACTAAGGATTCAGGAATAAAGTGGAAAGTAGTACTGTTCCTTTGGAATAGAGTTTGAGATGCTTTAAGGCAAAAATTAGAATTTTGAAAATTTGTGTCTGCTTTCCAAAACTTAAAGACTTTTCAGATGAGATTGATGGTGATATTAACAAATGTGATTTCTTTATGTTATGATATAAAGAAATGTGTCAAAATCCAGAGAAGATGTGTAACTGAACAAATTAATGTTTTCCAAATAAAAATAGTTAAAAAATCATGCATCAATAAAGCATTTGTTCTGCGTGCAAAAAAGGGTTATAATGTAACAGTATGAAAATTTTAATTGACACAGTTACATTTTTATTACTGCAACTAATAATTAATGATTACTTCTCTCTCATCAACACGGTGGAATAGACAGTCCCAACCTCCACTTTCTCCCGCAGTTGGCCAATTTAAAACTATTAAAAAGCAAAGACTGCCAACCCGAGACCACTGGAGCTCAGAGGAAGAGGACAAGAGACCCATGGCGTTTGTGAAGGTGGGAGAAGCCACAGCGAGAGGAAGAAGAAGCTGTTCCAACTATTTCAAGCCCTGGTCACATCAGGATTGGCCCTTTGAGAGGTGGGAAGAAGCTGCAGCACATATAGCAGGAGCCCAGCAAAAGCCACTGCTGAGCCCTTTGTGTGAAGTAGTCTGGAGTCTACACAGGAGATGAGGTCCTTGGAGAGCACCATATCAGCCCTGAGGGAGAGAGGCTTGCCCATCAGAGAACATTGGGGTGCAGAGTGGGTAGCTGATCTGCCTTCTGATTGGCATAAACCCACTCAGTGGAGATAGGTCAGGGTGATAGAATTGCAGGGGGCACAGTTTGCTGGGAAGGTTCAGTCCCAGGCCAGAATTTCCACATAGCCCAGGTGTATCTGACCTCACAAGACCTAGAAGTGATTAAAAGGCTGACAATTAGAATTCCATCCACACAAAAAAACCTTCCCTAGAGAATCAGCAGCAAAGCAACAATCTAGTATAACCACAGAGCTCAAGGGCTGCTCCCCACCGGAAGTTCCCCTGAATTTGGGATTAACCAAAACCACAGACTAGAGACAAATCTTTGATATCAACTAGTAAACGATTGACACCACCAAGGAACATCTATAAATCCTAGAAGAGGTAGCAGTTGCCTCAAATGCCCATGTATCAATGTAAAGAGACAAAGATCTAGAAAGAACAGAGAAATATGACACCAGCAAATGAAGCACCAGCAATGGACCCAGAGGGATAGTGGATTTATGCAATGTCTGACATAGAATTCAGAATAATCCTCTTAAGGATTTTCAGAGTCACAAGAAAAACAGATAGAAAATTAAATCGTATCTGGAAAACAGTCCAGGAGAAGAATGAGAAACTTGACAAAGGAATTGAATCAATAATAATAATAATAATAATAATAATAATAATAATAATAATAATAATAATAATAATATTCTAGAAATAAAGAATTCATCATCTGAACTGAAAAACTTGATAGAAAGTTCCACAGCAGACCTAATCAGAGGAAAGAATCGGTGAACTTGAAGATAGAACATATGAAATTATCAAATCAGAGAAGCAAAAAGAATAAGAAAAAATGAAACAGAAATACAACAAATATTGGACTCCCTCAAACAAAATAACTGCTACATAATTAGCATACCTGAAGGAGAGGAAAAAGGAAGAGATGTAGAAGGCATACTTGAGAAAATAATGGCTGGAAATTTCCCAAATATAGAGAAAGATGACATCATCCAGGCACAGGAAGCTCAGAGGTACCCAATCAAATTCAATCCAAGTAGGAACACTCCAAAGTATATTGTAATCAAATTATCAAAAACCAAAGACAAAGAATACTTAAAGCAACAACAGAAAAGAAACATAACATTCAGTGGAGCCCCAATACGTCTCTCAATGAATTTCTCAGTAGAAATCTTACAGACCAGAAGAGAATGGGCTGAAGGAAAAAGACTGTCAGCCAAGAATTCTGTATGCAGCAAAACTCACCTTCAAATATGAAGGAGAAATAAAGTCTTTTCCAGACAAACAAGAGCTAAGGGAATTCATCAACACTAGACCAGCCTTGCAAGAAATGCTGAAGGGAATTCTTCTGTGTGAAAGACAACGACACTAAGGAGCACCAAGAAAACATTTGAAGGTACATAATTCAGTAGTAAAGTAAGTTCACAAATAACCTCAAAATACTCCAATGTTGTAATGGTGGTGAATAAACCACTTTCATTCTTGGTATGAAGAATTAAGGACAAACCTAACAAGACACTAACATTCAACAGCCATATGAGAGATAGGCAATATTAAAAGATGTAAATTGAAACAACAAATTGTCAAAAAGTGGGGGGATATGCCACAAATATAGAATTTGCTTTGGCTTTTTCTTTCCTCTTAGACATCAAAGTTCAGTTGTTATTAGTCTAATATAATCTGTTGTAACTCTAACATGATTTCTGTAAGGCTCATGGTAATCATAACACAAAAGCATATGAGATATACTCAAAATAAAGAGAGAAATCAAAATACACTGCTAGAGAAAAATCACTCACCCAACAAGGAAGACAGTAAGATTGGAAAAAAGGATCAACAAAACAACTGAAAAGAAAGGAACAAAATGGCATTAACAAGTCCCTGTATATCACTAATAACTCTACTTGTATATGGATTAAATGCTCCAATTAAAAGACAGAGTGGCTTAAAGGATTATAAAGCAAGAACCAACAATATGCTGCCTGAAAGTAACTCACTTCACCTGTAAAGTATTTCTTGTAGAAATAAAGAGTAGAATATCATTACCAGAGGCTGGGTGGGGAAGGGGGTTGAGGGGGAGAAGAAATGGTGGACTAATGGGTACAAAATTGTGCTATCTACCCTAAGTGCAGTGTATGCATGTATTGAAACAACACACCATACCCCACAAATATGTACAAGTAAATGTTAAAATTAAAAAATTTTTTAAAACAAAAAACCTACCTCCTGTCAAGTTGTGATGTGAAATCATCAAAAATCCCTACAGTTATCTAAACTGCCAACAAAAAAATACTCCTTTTTCTACTACGTATCTTTGTGAGACTGGATTTTCTGTATATGCTTCAAAAAAAAAAAATCATTACAGATTTAATACAGAAGTCAGATATAAGAATCTAGCTGTTTTCTATTGTCAGAAATTACGGAGGTTGAAGATGTTTACAAATAGGTAACAAATGCCATTCTCACTTTTTTTACTTTGGAAAATATGGTTATTTTTCATAAAATATATTATTTGTTTAAATAATGAATTTAATATTATTAATTTAAATGAATTAATAAATATTTTCTTGATTTGAATTTCTAATGGTGAGTATTAATATTTATAACAACATAAACAAAGGCTCTTTGATATTCTAAATTATTTTTAAGATTGTAAGAGGATTATATATCCACATATTGAAATCTGCTACTTTCAGCTACAGCTTGAATTCTTTGAAGTTTTGAAATGCCATGGAAGTGAGGAGGAATATTTGTATGAAAAAGCATAATAGCTTTTATCTTATAGCAATTATTTAATATGCATAAGACCAGCAATGTCAGAACTAAACCTTATAGGATCAAAGTTTTATGTCTTTTAGATTAACCTAATCTCTTATTCAAAGAATTATTGTATAGTTACTTTTTCAAGTATTTTCGTTTTGGTCATTATTTGTTTTGAAGCTTGAGAAAGAAGCGATGAAGGATGCAGTTTTAAAAGCCATAGAAGAAGAAAGAAGAAATTTGGAAAATGCTCATGCTGAAGAAAGGGAATTATGGAGGACAGAACATGCAAAAGATCAAGAAAATGTATCTCAGGCAATTCAAAAAGCTATACAAGAGCAAAGAAAAATAAGTCAGGTTAGTAAAATTAACTCTTTGTAAACATTTCTTTTTTTCTTATATTTCTCAAAGCGAAGTACTGTTATATTATTTTGTCTTACCTATTATCACCTTAGTGGACATACCAGTATTTAATTTTTTTTGTATTTGATGTTAGTATTTTGAACTAATAACTTTTAATATTTCAGTGTGTTTTCATCTTTCTGATATTGAAAACTCAGTAACTTATTACTTACCTTTATACTCTATTTTCAAAAAGGTCAGAATCTAAATTTATGTTTAGTCACTGCAACTAAATTAAGCCTCCTCTTTTATTTTTCTTTTTACAGATACAGCACACACGCATACATACACACACACACAGAGAATACAAAATAGTGTATTTGTGTAGAAAAAGGTTGATTCAATTAATAACTGCAACTAAATTAAGCCTCCTGTTTTATTTTTCTTTTTACAGATACAGCACACACGCATACATACACACACACACACAGAGAATACAAAATAGTGTATTTGTGTAGAAAAAGGTTGATTCAATTAATTTACATCTAATTTGTATATTTATATAATTTTAACTGGTAGCAACAATTAATAAAACTTCCTACATATTTTCTATGGTCTCATAAAGGATGTATACTGATCGACAAGCATGCCCTACGTACAAAACAACTTTTGATTACTTATCTGAACAATTAAAAACTACCTTAGTTTCATTTTCAATAATTGAATTTGCATGGCTATTTTACTTGGATTTAGTCTTTTTCTTTACATAGGTAGTGATACTTGAATAAATCTTCCTTTAAGCACATATATAAAGCAAAAAATAATATTCAAAGAAAGTCTCTTCATGTGGTAAAAGTGTTACATATACTACCGTTATTCACTCAAACCTGTGTTATAAATGGAACTGTAATGACTAACTTTTGAGAACTCATTAACTAATCTTAAAGCCTAATAATCTCAATGTTTGTAATATCCAGGATAAATGTTACATTTTTTGAAGATGTCTCTTAAGTTTATTCTCACGAACATGTATTTTCCTATTTATTATAAAGCTTATACAGATCTGTAGGTAGCATCTATGGGAAGATAACAGTATTGTAGTAACACATCTTTTCTTTTTTGTTACCTTGCTTTTTTTCTGTTAATGATTACCTTCTAATTCTTACTGTAATCTATGCCAAAAAATATTACCGTACCAAAAAATATTCATTGAGCACCTATTGTGTGAGATGTGTAAACATCTATCAGTTCGATTGATTGGAATTCCATGCCAGTAAGTTCAAAATCATTGGTTAAGTTCTTAGTTAGGAGAATTCATCTGAAAAAAAGTTTTGTGACCACACTACTCCTCTAACCACACATAAATGTGGGCCATTATTCACCATGCAATTGGGAAAGAGGGCATGAATAAATCAGAAAACATTCATCACCCAAATGGAAAAATATATACCTTAAAGAGTACATGTCTCTGCTGGTTTATCAGCAGTCTACAGGAAACACTGAAATATGTCATATACTTTTTTCCCCTACAGGTTCAGAGTATGGTGATGATAATCTTCAAGCACATCTTGAATAAACAAATTATATTTATTTTCTTACAAATGTCTGCACGTTATGCTAGAGATTGTGTGAGTGTGTGTATGTTTAATTGCCATGTGGCTGAGAAAGTTGAACAGGGAATATCTACAGCAGAGAGAATTCAGGATTACAAAAATGAGGTGATAGTATCAAATGCACTCAAATGTCTTCTTTAAATATCTCACTCCTTTCATTTTCATGTGGTTGATTTTACTATAACCAACCAATCATCATTCCATTATCCCCTTAAATCTTCTTAGTGCTGTTTTAGTAAATTGTCAAGTAAATTATTTTTCTTGGTGTATAAAACTGTGTGGTGTTGTTATGGGAGCCAATGAAGCTCAAATCTCTTTTACTAATTTAGACCAGCAGGATAAGCAAACAAATTGCTATGGTCAAACTTACTGTTTGATGTTTTACATTAATATTTGAATTGATTGTCTGCTATGTGTCAGGCATTGTACTTATTTCTGGGGACACAATAGTGGGGGAAAAATTTTTCTGCCTTCTTGTGCAGAAGTTGAATAGGAAACTAAATAATACAATGTCAAGTAGTGATCAGTGTCGTGAAAAATAAAATTGTGTAAAGAGCTAGAGAGTGAGGGCACTAATATACGAAGAGAGTAGTCAGGTAAGAGCCCTCTAACGAGTAAGCATTTAAGGTAAGGCCTGCACTGGTGTTGATGTGAGGAGTCTGCCTTGTGAAAAGGCAAACTTTCTTTGCGAAAGAGTGTTTCAGTCAGGAAGAGTGTTTTAGAGGCATAGCCAGTATAAATCCTTTGAGGCAGAAAGATCCTTGGTATATAAAACTGTATGTTATTGTTATGGGAATAGACAGTTAAGAGGACCAATGGAAAAGAGCAGAATCCAGAAATAGACCCAATTTTTCTGTAATTTACAAATCTGTAAAAATAGTATTACATATTAGGTAGGAGAAGATGAACCTTAGCAAATCAAGGTTTTAAATCTGGATTCCATGGATGGGGGCCTATACAGTCTGTGTATTTATTGAAATTATACAAAACTGCATATATGTACAGATTTTTCTGCAGAGATGGTTTTGGAAAATGTAAAAGTAACTTTCTCATAAACCTGTTTTGTCCTTGAAACTATATATGCCCACTCCACTAGTTTGAAATAATTTTCTCACAGGCCTGCTTTGTTTTAGAAGTAATATCTTGTCCTTGAAACTATGTTTGCTTGCTCTGGCTATAAATCACCGCTTGCTCTTTTGGCTTTTGTAACAAGAGCTTATCTGCACAACCGCATATGCTAGCTAAACTGCTGAGAAAAGAAAAAAAAATGTGTAAAGAGCCCTGGAACAGTCTGCCTATAAAAAGCCTTGTCAGATCTAGGTTTGGGGACCATGATTTCAGGTCATGAGCCCATCTGGTCCCACTACCATAATAAACACCTGGCTCTCTAACCTTCCAAGTGTTTGAGGGTGCTTCCTAGCAGAGTTTGTTTCCACAACAGTGGTACATAGCTTTTGTTAAATTTTCAGGTATCTTACTAATTAGCCCAGAAAAGATTAAAAATAATTGCAACAGGCTCCCCGTTTTCTTCTGGGCTCTCTATAGTAAAATGAATCCCAAATAGATTGATCTATAGATTAAAGGTACTAAAAAGAGTAAGCATTTAAGGTAAGGCCTGCACTGGTGTTGATGTGAGGAGTTTGCCTTGTGAAAAGGCAAACTTTCTTTGCGAAAGAGTGTTTCAGTCAGGAAGAGTGTTTTAGAGGCATAGCCAGTATAAATCCTTTGAGGCAGAAAGATCCTTGGTATATAAAACTGTATGTTATTGTTATGGGAATAGACAGTTAAGAGGACCAATGGAAAAGAGCAGAATCCAGAAATAGACCCAATTTTTCTGTAATTTACAAATCTGTAAAAATAGTATTACATATTAGGTAGGAGAAGATGAACCTTAGCAAATCAAGGTTTTAAATCTGGATTCCATGGATGGGGGCCTATACAGTCTGTGTATTTATTGAAATTATACAAAACTGCATATATGTACAGATTTTTCTGCAGAGATGGTTTTGGAAAATGTAAAAGTAACTTTCTCATAAACCTGTTTTGTCCTTGAAACTATATATGCCCACTCCACTAGTTTGAAATAATTTTCTCACAGGCCTGCTTTGTTTTAGAAGTAATATCTTGTCCTTGAAACTATATATGCCCACTCCACTAGTTTGAAATAATTTTCTCACAGGCCTGCTTTGTTTTAGAAGTAATATCTTGTCCTTGAAACTATGTTTGCTTGCTCTGGCTATAAATCACCGCTTGCTCTTTTGGCTTTTGTAACAAGAGCTTATCTGCACAACCGCATATGCTAGCTAAACTGCTGAGAAAAGAAAAAAAAATGTGTAAAGAGCCCTGGAACAGTCTGCCTATAAAAAGCCTTGTCAGATCTAGGTTTGGGGACCATGATTTCAGGTCATGAGCCCATCTGGTCCCACTACCATAATAAACACCTGGCTCTCTAACCTTCCAAGTGTTTGAGGGTGCTTCCTAGCAGAGTTTGTTTCCACAACAGTGGTACATAGCTTTTGTTAAATTTCCAGGTATCTTACTAATTAGCCCAGAAAAGATTAAAAATAATTGCAACAGGCTCCCCGTTTTCTTCTGGGCTCTCTATAGTAAAATGAATCCCAAATAGATTGATCTATAGATTAAAGGTACTAAAAAGAAGTTGGGCACATATTGATACTCCTTGAAAGGAAGAGTCTAAACAAAATTCTGAAATGGTGGACTAAGGATCTCCACAAATTATCATCTACATGAAGGCAATGGAAAACCCTAGCATAAATTGTCAAAACCAACTTTCTTAGAACTCTGGATATTAACCAAAGGCTAACAACAGTCCAAATGTTTATTCAAGAAAAATGGTTAAATCCCACTAACAACAGCAAGCTTTGGAGAGCTTTAACTTGCTCTGTTTCCATTCCGTCTCCCCAGCTCCATAGTATTTTTAAAAATGTGTAGCCTGATAACTACAGTAAATGCAAATGCAGCATGTAGAAGCCACTGGAGAGGAAAGACCAGTTTTGGAACTCCACAAAAGCTATATTCTCAGAGAATTGTTACTATTTAACCTGTTTAATAGCTCCTGCAAAGTTGCCATTTGCAAGACTTTTTGATATTTGACCTGATTCAAGCCTCACTTAGTGGGAAAAGCCCTATCTCCAGAATATTTGTCAAAAACAATAAGTAGCAATTGTTTATCTTCCCAGCTGCATGTTACAGAGATCCAGTTGGAGCAAATAAGAGGATGACCATATAAAGGAAAATCTGGGTGGGAAATGTGATTGCCATAGGTAGATTTGAAAAGCTCTAACTTTTGAAGTACTCCTGTAGTTCTTGAAGGTCACACACTTGCCAAGGACAGAAATAAGGGCCTATCTTTTGCCGACTTTTGATTCTATGCATGCAGGA